GGGAGACCCTGTCTCAAAAAGACCCCCCCCAAAAATTTTTTTAATATTTTATTATTTTTATGTTATGTGTATGAGTGTTATGCCTACATGTAAGTGCACCCGTGTCGTGCAATGCCCACAGAGGACACAAAAGGCTGTCAGATCCCTAGAACTGGATTTACATACAGTTGTTAGCTGCCATGTGGATGCTGGGATTTGAACCCGGTTCTTCTGCAAGAACAGTCAGTGTTCTTAACTGAGCCATCTCTCCAGTCCCCAATTAAAAATATTTATGTGTATGAGTGTTTTATGTGCACCCACGCATGCAATGCCCCTGGAGGCCAGAAGAGGGCGTCATACCTCTTGAACTGGAGTTAAAGACCGTTGTTAGCCACCATGTAGATGCTGGGAACTAAACCCAGGTCCTCTGGAAGAACAGCCAGTACTCTTAAACACTGAGTCATCTCTCTAGCCCCAAAGATAGTTTTAAATTACTGTCATGGCTGGGTAGAAATATGTCCTATAGAAGCTGAGCTTTGGCATGGGGGTCAGAAGCTAATTTCAAGGTCAGTCAAGACACTGGGGTCCTTCTACCTAAGGGGTTGACCCCAAAATACAGTGGGGGTTGGGAGGAGTGTAAATACAGAAGCCTGGGGTGGGAGATGGGTAGGGAACAGAGCTAAGCATTAGGCCCTTGAAGATACCAGTACAGATACCTGCTACCGACATGTCCTCTGGGATACCCACTCCTGCCCCTGCAGGAGGCATTCTTCTGTCTGCAAGTGGCCCTTCCAACCTTCTTCCAGCCTCACAATATATCACAGGGCAGAGCACAGAGCTTCTTGTCTACCTTCAGCCCACAGAATGGCCTGGTACCCTTCATCCTCAACCTTCTAAGTAGAGAGTGTGTCTCACTACAAGCCCTGAAATTCCTCCTCTGCACAACTCAGCCAAGAACAGAGGGAAAATGGCACCCATTATTCTCCTTCTGAATGGCTGGGAAATGGCTTTTGCTTTTCAACATGAAATGTGCCTAAAAATAAGCTGTGAATTTCAACCAGGGGTTGAAAATAGCTCTGCAGTGAACAGAGCTCTGCCTAGAGTGGGTTTAAGGACAGACTTCATTCCAAGATCTGAAAGCTAAAACTCTACAGTCAGAGAAGGGGTCATGGGCAGGGGGTTTGCAGGGCGAAGGGACCGCCACAGACTCACAAGCTGCCCTTGCCATGCTCTGCTCCCTCTGGTTTTTCCATGATCACACTGGAGCAAGCACTGTTAGAAATTCCACACCACACCTGGCCCCACAGACTCCCCGAAAACCCCAAATACCCAAGAGTGCTCACACAGCTTCACTGCCTAAAGTGATGTGGAGACAGAGGCAGAAGGGTGTCAGATATGGCTGTGGAGCTCATGAGTGCTCCAAGAAGTCAAGCCATCCAGGCCAGCCCTAAACCTCTCATCAGACATTATCTCTGAGCTAGGGAGGTCTTTGGACAGGACACACAAGAAACAATTTAAAGAAAACCAAGTTGCTAAAGGTGAACAGTCTTATTTATTGCTTACCATCATCTCTAGAAGACCCTAAAATTAGATAGGCCAAACAGCACTCCTAAAAAATGAACTTCTATTAGAAACTGCCAGAAATCTGGGCCACAGCTGCTGGTGGGAACCCAGAACAAACCCATCTGAGCAGAGTCCCCACACGGGCTCCTCGAGCATCCTGTCTTCTTTCCCTTCCCATGCTCTTCCCACAGCTTAAGCCAGCCCCGGCACCTTACTCCTCCCACTGCTAAGTCAACTTTCTTTCTGGGCTCCTCTGAGAAAGGAGGTATGGCAGTGATTCTCAAGTGGGCACATCTGCCAACATCTGAAGACATTTCTGGTCATCATAACTGGAACAGGATGCTACTGGGTAAAGGCCCAGGATGCTAGTAAACATCACATGGTGCACAGGATAGGAACCACAGCAAAGAATTTTCTGTCCCTGAAATACAAGCACTGTGGAGGTTTAACAATATGAACAGAGATGTAGGGTGGGGGCTCATCAAACTCAGTTCACAGGACAAGAGTGCTTCTGGGCTCCCCCAAGAAGGACCTTTTGGCCATCCAGGAAATCTGAGAACTAGGGAATGCTCTGGAAAGAAAGGTAAGAGCACACTCATCAGTTTCCCTCCTATACCTGGAGAAAACCTGACCACCAAAGAGTGTTATAAAAACTAGCTGCTGCCAGTCTCAGAGGATGAAAAAAATAGGGTGATGACTTACTGAGTTATCCACTGAAACATAGTTAAAATGCTCAGTTTTATTACACACACACAATTTTCCCATAATAAAACCAAGTATAACAAACACCCTGGCCCTTTTTCCTTTTCAGAGAAGCCTCTCAAGTGGTGACATGGGTGGGGTGTGTCTACCTGTCCACTCAAGGCTATCAAAGAGACTCAGGACAAGCCAGGTGTGGTGGCGCACGCCTTTAATCCCAGCGCTCGGGAGGCAGAAGCAGACGGATCTCTGTGAGTTCAAGGCCAGTCTGGTTCCAGGACAGCTGGGGCTACAGGGAGACCCTGTCTCAAAAAGATAAAAAAAAAAGAGACTCACAACAAGTAGCAAAGAGGTCTTATTTCAACCAAGACTGACTGTATGTTTAATGTGTTACTCTAGGAGGTAGCAGAGCTCAACATTACATTATACAAGGGGTCTTCATAACCTGCTTGTAAGTGCACTTTGGACCTACTGAGGAAACGGAGGCTCGGGAACAATAGGTGCTTTGCCCAGAGTCACTCAGCAGGGTTCAGACCCAGCTCTGTGACTCTAGAGCCCATATCCTGTCCCCTATTTGAGTCACATGTATGGAAGCCCACTGGGCAAGGCTGTGACAATAGCTTGACGTGGACCTAAAGGTAGTTTAGGAACAACTAGCTTCTCAGTCCTGCTGAGCCATTCACCTTCCTACGCCTATCCTGCCATGCTGGATCCCCTACACTACATGACTTCATCCCAGATTCTCAGGCCCTGAAGTTCTGGGAAACAAGGTACCCTGAACCCCATTCTCTGAGCTAGGACTAAAGGAACAACAGGCAGATTGTCCAAGTCATTTTCCTAGTGATTATAAGAAAAAGAATATAGGCAAACTTGCTAGCCAGCCATCAAAACTACATTGAGATTTCATCTTAGCTCAGTCAGAATGATAGTCATTAAGAACACAAACAACAAATGCTGGCAAGGATGTGGACGGAAGGGAACCTTTCACTCTGCTGATGGGAGTGTCAACTAGCCTAGTCACTACAGAAGTCAGTATGGAGGTTTCTCAACTAAAAAGGTCTACCATAGGACCCAGCTGTACTCGTAAGATTCCAGGTCAGCATATCAGAGACACCTGGAACACTATTCAGGATAACTAAATTGTGGAAGCAACACAGACCAGAAATAAATAAAGTGTGGTGTATATAAACACAAGGAAAATTTTTTCAGCCATAAAGAAGAATGAAGTTTCACTACTTGTAGGAAAATGGATGCAACTAGAGATGGTCATATTAAATGAAAGACAAATATCATATGCTTTGTTTCATTTGTGGTTCCTAGATTTTACACAGATTCAGAGAACTGTGCAGATATATGATATGAACGTAGAAGTGAAACTGTAGGGAACAGAGAGGACTAACAGGAGGGGTGAGAAAAGAAGGGCAGGGGCAGGAGTGCACTCAACATGCAGCAATACACATGAACATTTTTAAATAAAAAAAAGAAAGAAGAGGGACTTTTCCTCTAGTTGATGGATACTAACATCCTCGAGACAGACTGTGGAGCTAGTAGTTAGTGGGCCTGTTCAAAGGGGCCAGCCTAACACATCCTAGGTGTCTCATCTGTAAACCAGAACAGGTAGCACCCACTCATTCTGACAAGCAATGAACAGCCCACCCCACTGTAAGTGCCCAATAGACAAGGAATCAGGAGAGAGACCATGGACCAGAGAAGACCCTAACTTGCAGATGGAAATGCCTTTCTAGGCAGAAGATGAACTGGTGGCAAATAGAACATCAATGCAACACGAGATTCCCTCAAAAAACCCTAAAGTTGAGAGTTCATTAGCAAATACTGAGGAAAACCAAAATCTGGCTACCATGGTGAGTCAGGATAGTGATCCTTAAGAGAAAACTGGCCTATTCTTAGAGGCAGCCCTAGCAGAGAATGGGGTGTGTGTGGTGAAGATGGAGATCAAGCTTCGGGAGTCACAGTAAACCCTGGGACAGACTAAGGAGGCTTCCTGATTCTATTCTAAGTTCCAGCCTTGACTTTCAGCCACTTCCTGTTGTTTAGGTCAGTTTCCTCCTGTGGGGGAGGCCATGGTGCTTCTAAGATCCTGGGAAGAGAGATTTCAACACTCTGGCCATACAAGCTTAAAACCTTCAGGGTTCTACAACCTTGGCTTATTGTAACCCAAGAAGAATATGGGTTTATTTAATGAGACTTTATCAGTTATCATTTTTTCTTCCAAATATTTGTTTAAAAAATTAGCTATTTTAATTCAGGAACACTGAATATCCTTTTAGCAACAACGGTACTAAAAATGGTTTGTGGCTGAGGAACTTCCTCTCCGTGGTTAAAAAAAAAAGGAAGTGAGAGCATGCAAACCAGGGTCTTACCCATTCTCCCAGCTGTGGCTTTGGGTCCTGAACCCTCTAGGAACCCCACACTTGGGTCCTGTGACCCAAGGAACGCTTGCCATAGGACAGGTCCTTTGTTTCTTTTGGCCTCTCTCTAGCAGTGGCACGTGCCATGGAAACACTCCCCACGAAAAGGGCCATGATCCTGGACACCCAGCAGCTGCTCTCCCAGCCTTTTATGCTGCATTTATTCATTCTAGATTGGAATCAAAGCACCACAAGATCTTTGGTAAATCTTACTAGGGTTCCTTCCCCATGGCAGACAAGTCTCCAGGCCCTGTCATCTCAAGCCCAATGCTGTTCATTATGACTAGCCCAGAGTCACAAGGCTTGGGCCATGACTGCTAAGCTACTTACCAGAGTCCCAGCAGAGCTGGCCAGGGTGGCTGGAGGCCTCTGTACTTTGACTTCTCCATAATCAACAACATCAAAATTACTCTTCCAAACCATCACCTGCCAAGACCAAGAGGCACAGAGAATAAAGGGGTTGGGGGAATGGGCCCATAAATCAACACCTAAGTTCTGAGCCATGGTGGTTCTCATCTGATATCCTAACTCAATGCTGAGACTTGCACATCTCCCTGAAGAGTAGGCTTTGGGGACAGACCTCAAGAAGGCCTGCACGTGGTACCAGGATGAAGCATTACTGTGCAGCCACCACTAAGCCTTAGCATCTACTTGTCCTTCTACCTGAGAGTCACAGATATCTCAATGTCAGAAGCACTATTTAACCCATCTGTTCCTTTTCCTTGTTTATCATCCATCTGTGCACTGAAAAGGAAGCTCTTGAGCGTGGTGGCCTGGTCTGTGACACTGTAGGAAGTGGTGGAGCACATAGACTCTAGACCAGGCTTAAAGTGTTGGCTCCAGACCTTACTGCGAAGCCTAAGTGAGGGACTCAGCCTATGCCCCAGAGCCCTCTTCTGTGAAAAGATCCCAACTCCCACCTCACAAGACTACTAGGAGGCATACAGGACACTGCAGCACAGAACAAATGGTAACACATCCATTATCCCAAGGCTAGTTAAGTTTAACCATAAAAACAGACCACACTCTGAGTATCTTCCTAAACAGGATCATGACCAAAGGGACCTCCACAAAAGCTTAGGGAGCCACCCTGCCAGGAAGCAAGAGCACTCCCTGCTGGAGACTCAAGGCCATAGGAGGTTGGTTGCTTCTAGGGTCACTTTAGGATAAATGGCCTGGCCTTCACAGAGAAATCATATAGCGTTGTCAGTGGTCAATGGAGGCCACTAACAAACTAACAAACAAACAAACAAAAAACTACTGTCTCTACCCAAGATGAAGGCCTGACATAGACACCATCCCTGTTGGGACACAGCTGTGAGCCAGGTTATTACAGAGGCTCCTCTCACCACTTCCTGAGCAGCTCCACTGTTGATGGCTCCCAGAAAAACAGGCACATGAGGTGCCTCATTTGTCACTTTACAAACAGAACCTTGGCATCTGCATACCCTTGTGTACAAGGCCTTTTTATAACTGTGGAAATCTAACCATGGAATAAGTTCCTAGCAGCAGAGTATCTAGCATTAATGCAGAGATAATGCCAATGTCAGACTCTCAGTGCAGGCTATAAAAACAGCAGGAACCAGACAGCCGCACAGTCTGAGGAGCGCCACAGCAGGTGGAAGCTTTCCACCCAGGTTGCCTCTTGTACTATGTGACTTTATTTACCACAGCTATTTACCATGTGCATCTACTGTACAGTTATCTTCTACGTGATGAGCTGGGCCTCCACACTCATTGGAGGCTCAGGGCTCTCCTGTACCTTCTTCCTCTTTGGCTGCTAGCTAGAAAGTGGTGCTAGGGTGAGATGATACATGCTAGCTCTCATCCAACCATGGACAAAGAACGCTTAGCTAGCCACTGCTTTATTGAAAAATCAGTACTTTTCATGAAGGGCCACCAGGACTCATCTGAACTGAACAGCCAGTACTGAGGCCAGTACACAGGGGATGAACATTCTCAACAATCCATCAGATCAACTATGTTCATAGCTACCACCCTTTCCTCCTCATTTTTCTGGACAAGAGGCACTGGGTAGATACTCTGGGAGACTGCTAACAGGTGGACTCCTCAGGGTTCCCCATATCCCCAAGCCCAGGTTTTGAGCTGGACACCAGTATCAAGGTACCCGCTAGCAGATAAGCCTTTGGCATTTAGCAGTCCAGGCAAAGAGGTACAGGGCCAAAAGGCTGAGGCCTCAGTGCAAAGGGTGATGAGGTGGGATAGGACTTCTTCTCTGTAGCCAAGGATATAGAAAATGCTGATGCATCAAACAGTACAGGACTGGGCTGGGAAGCAAAGGGCAGCAGGGGATGGAGGGGAGGCTCCAGGGCAGGGGCATGGTTCAGCAGCCAGCCTGGCTCAGTGCTTGTCCCATCTCTGCCATCTGCTGGAGCTGTTTTCTCATCCACAAGAATGAGATGGGAAGGCTTGCACCATAGGACTCATGAGAACTAAATGAGCTATGAATCTCTAGCCACACGGATGACACTGCCAGCTCTGTAGTAAGTACCCAATAATTCTTCATTATCTATACAATCAGGGGAAAAATAAAACCCTGAAAATCTTTAATTTTTACATGGTAAAAACAGCTCACATCCTTCCAACACATTCTAATCTGAGACACTGGCACATGTCATCAGTATAGGAGACTTATTTTTGGGACAGCAAAGGCCTTACACCTGAGCATCTCCACCCCAAGCTCCATCACATGGCCTTTACCATGGTTGGGATCACTGAAAGATACCAAGGCCCACCCCAAGATGGCTTCTAGCTTCCATGGGGTTCTGAGCAGGATCAGGTCAGATCTTCAGGCCATTCTTACCTGTTCATCAGAGCCTCCAGAAGCAAAATATTCCCCTGTTCTTGAAAAGGCAACAGTGGTAGCAGGTCCCTAATAGAACAAAGAAAAAAGAAAAACACACCAAAGGTCAGCTAGACATGTGGCACACACCAGTGATCTTACCTAGCACTTGGGAGGCAGGGGCAGGAGAATCAGGAGTTGGAGGCTAGCCTGGATTATGTGAGAACCTGTCTCAAAAGCCCCTGACACACACCACCATCCAAAACAAACAAAAAGCACTTGAGTCTAAACGTACAAGAAGAAAACTAGTAGTTCTCAAATGAGAGCGGCAGTGACACAAGGGTCTGAGCACCTGGTCGGTCTTCCCCAGCCTCTGCCAAAGGAGAGGTGCTTGTGGCCAGGTGCAAGAGCCAGTGCTGAGACCTATGTTTCCAAGCACCTCAACAGAACAAAGCCCAGGTCACGGATCAGGAGAGGCCAAAGAGGAAGATACAGGACAGTTCACACTGGCAGATCTACCAGCTGGCATCACTGTCCTAGCTTCCCTAATGAGAAGTGGGAGATCAGAGAGACATACAGCACCGAGACCAAAATCCATCCCTCTGACCCAGGCATAACACTGCCCTGCTTCCAGCCAGAAGTGAAAGCTCTGAAAAGCCAAGGATTCAAATGAACAAGGTGAAGTCAGGGTCCTAGATGACAGAAAGGAGGCTAGGATGGGAATTCCTGAAGGTGCCTGGGTAGTAGACCAATGTGACACCAGTGCCCCTGCAACATGCATGTTATTTCCCTTACAGGGAAATGGGCCTCTCTGGCTTCCCAGATACCAAAGGTCAGCATGAGCACATGAAGAGGAAAGTCAGGCATATGCTATGCAGTACTGAGCACCAAGAAGCACGTCCAGGTTGGGAGGAGGTCATGATCTCCTGGTGGAGAAAGAGGGTTCTTCCCTATATGCCTGAAATCCACGCCAGGAAGATGCACCAAGCGTGCATCTGGTCACAGCCACAGATGCAAACATCTCCCTCTCAGTTAACCTTTTGTCAGTGCCTGGCATTCACCAAGCAAAACCAGATCAAAGGTTCTTTCAAATCTGTCACAAAGGCCACCTCAGTTTCTCTAGACCACCACAGTGCAATATGAACCCCAACTGCCCACAAGAGGGGCCTCTAGCAACAGTGCCTGGGCTGGAGATAAGAGGAACAGTAGAAAATACCCTGCCCTCAGTGCCAGAAAGGACCAACCATAGCTTGGGTTGGAAAGGGACCTCAAAGTTTAAGAGCAAAGTGCTTCTGCTTCCTCAGGAGATAGGCAGGTTGAGAGGTGCTACCCAGGCTCACGAAACAAGAGAGTACACATCTGCTCATGCTTCCAGAGCACTTTGGATCTTCTTGTCAGAGGTGCTTGTAATGGGGTGACAAGGAAGAAAAAGAGCCCACATCAACTAACACTGGCTCAGGGCCCTGTACCTGCATTAACCACCTAATCCTCAGAGGACAGTTTGAGCATTTTCCTTTCCAAGTGGGGGAAACAAAGCCCAAGAGGAGATAGACAAAGCCTCCAGCCTATGCCTGCCCTGTTATCTCCCTTCTCCACACAAAAGGAGCCACAGACTCAGACAAACCCTGCCCCCAGCAGACCCAGGAATGTCAAAGCTGCCATTAACCAAGATAAAGTGGATCCACTTTTACTGATAGGGAACAATGCCCACTCACATCCATGAACAGCATCCATGAGCATCAAATACCAGGTGCAAGAAATCCTGGGCCATGTGACTGACTCCATTTGAGAAATAATGGCTATATGTGCAGAGGGTAGAGGTGGGGCATACAACCCTCACCCTTCCAGGTGGACAGTTGGCAAGGAGTCACCAGGGCTGACTGAGGGAGTGGCACAATCAGGTATGTCTACTTGATTCTTGGAAATTTTTACTATTTTCATACTTTGAATTTTTAAATAAGTGTACAACACTGCTATAATATGAAAACAGAACAACAGAATGATTTTTGTTTTGAGGGAAAAAACAAAGAAGGAACAAAGAAAAGGGAAGGAAACCAGTGCATGGCATTTCTAAAAAGATGGGCTCTTTGCCCACCTAGAGCTCACTGAGTAATGGCAAGTTTCCAGGAAGGCACAGCAACTAAGGGAGCAAACAAACACTCATGGATCACTCGCCTTGCCTGTCATCACTCAAGCACCAGATGCCAAGTTGGGAACAAGATGTCAGAGGCAGAAGGGCAGCAATACCAGACTAACTGGAGAATGCATCCAGCTTGCAGGGGGAGCAGGTCCAGAAGGCAGTACTGAAGTTCTGGCACTTTCTCCAGAGACCAAGTCTCTCAGGAGACTCAGAGATGGACAAGCAACCGGGATACCCTGTGGAGCCTGCATTTCTCCCCAGCAGTATCTGTTTACTAAGAAGAGGACTATGAGGCTCCTGCAAGCAGGCACCTCTGCATTCCTGGAAAGAACAGCTTCCATCAGAGGCTTCTGCTAGTCTGCCCAGAGCCCAAGCACACAGCCCAGGGCATTTAGAGGGTGGCATGTATGCCTGCAATCTCCTCAGATTATATCACCGCTTGGCTCTTGTGGGCCCTGACAAGCTAGCTCCTGATGATCTTGCCTTCCCCCATGTTCCAGCCTACCAGACTGCTCACCGCTCCTCAAAGACTGAGCTAGAGAAAGGTCTTCTCTTTCTCAGTGCTTTCCTTAGCCTTCTACTCTGCCCTCCTCAGTGATTTTCAATCTTGCTTCATTTTACTTATTTTTATTTTATACGTATAAGTGTTATGCCTGCATGTATGTAAGTGTATCTGTGTCATGCAATGCCTGTGGAGGTCAGAAGAGGGCGTAAGATCCCCTGGAACTGGAGTTATGAATGGCCATTAGCCATTATGTGGGTGCTGGAAATTGAAACTGGGTCCTCTGCAAGAGCAGCCAGTACTCTTAACCGCTAAGCCATCTCTCCAACCCTCTTTCTTCATTTTAAATAGATTCATTGAAGGTCACAAATTTGTCTCTGATAACCACCTTAGCCAGATCCCAGAAGCTTTCAGCATGTAATCCTTTCATTGTTATTCCCTTCCAAATGTTAGTTTCTATTGAAGTTCCTTTCTAGGCCATCAGTTACTTGGAAGTGCACTGAATTTAAAGTTTCCAAATCAAGGGAACTTGGGGAGACCCTTCTGTTAGTGCCACTGATCAGATACAATGTGTTCTTCAAGAATGTTCTAGCTACGTGGTAACCTATTCCTATCATTTACTTAATCACTTTTGGTGCATCAGTACTCGGCTCTGGGCATACTTTCTTCCCACAGGCCAGGCCTGTCCCTAGTGCTGCCACAGGGGCCCTGAGTGTGACTGGAGCAGCATCTCTTGCTGGGCCTTCAGCACTAGAGTGGCCCACTTGCTGGGAACCTGGGCCTGCCTAACTCCTGGCCAGAGATGCTTCACAAGCTTGACCAAGGCAAACCCCTCCACCCTTAAAGGACTCAGTACTTTATGAGGTGATCCTACCTAATCTATCACAAACACTGGACATGTATGGTACCTAATCTATTTTCTTTCCTGACAACATCACACTCAGCTGGACCCACACCCAGTCATTTCACCACATACCTATTCTTCTTTCCCAATTTCCAGACTCTCAGGACCTATGCTATCCATTTTATATATATACATATACATACATACATACATATATATATATAGTGTTTATGTATTTGTGGCTGCATGCTACATCACAGATATGGAGGTCAGGAATCAGTTCTCTCCTTCTACCATATGGGTTCTAGGGATAGAACTGAGGTCATCAGGCTTGGCAGCAAGCACCTTTATCTGCAAGCCACCTTGTCAAGTCCCCTTTAAACAGCAAGCAACAGTGGAACAAGAAAAGCAAGCAAACAAATACAGGTAAAACAAAGAAGCCTACAGTGATTAGTTACACTGTACATTCTGCTGTCTGCAGCAGCCTATCCAGACCTCTGTGCCTTTCTGCTATCCTAACACCTTATCTGACTCTCTGAAACACCTGAATGCTGACCATGGTACTCAAAGAGCTATGCTGGTAAAAAGTCCAGCCAGATATTCTGACACACCTACCAGTGAACAGACAGAATTGGCCCCCTGAATGGGAAGAAAAAGCAGGGTGGCCATCAGAGATATGGAGACTGAGGAGGCCCAAGAGACCTCTGATGTGGATGCTCTAATCTCTGACCTGTGCTCCTCTTTCACTTCACTTCTACAGCCCTAGCCTAGGGCCTGGTGTGACACAAGTGTCTCGGACACACTTGCAGGTCCCTCAGGAGGCTGATCTCATGCCACCAAGGACAGTTACCACCAAGGACAGTTAGCAGTCCCTGTGCAGGTCTAAGCTTGTGGCAAGCACCCCCTACCCACATTAGGGGAGCTGCTCAAGCTCATGGGGTGGTGTGCAGCACAATCACCCCACAGTGACACTCTGCAGCAACATACACACCAATTGCATAGCCACTAACACCAGATTTAACTCAGCCCACGGCCCACCCACCATCCTCTCTCAAATAGCTCTAGGGGATTTAAACCAAATAAGCATGGCTCAAGACTATGTTTCAGAAAATGCAGAAAAATAAATCTGTATTTCCAGCACCTTGCCTCCACACTTACCACATAGATCTGGGGCCCCATTCAGGGCATGAATTTTTCAAATGACAGCTGCAGACAGTGGGAAAGCCCTTCCCTCTTGTGCAGGTGTTCCCTGATGTAAAATGAGGGGGCTCATGGGATGATGCGGCTCCGTTACAGCTCTCACATCCCCAAATCGGTGTGTTATCCTTTCTTCCTGCTTAACTGTCACCACCATTGCAGATCCCCCAAGCTTCAGACTCAAGAGTAGGGTCTGGAGCTGTGCTGGCCCCACTGCCCAGTAGAACAGCAGTGTGCACCCTAGGTTGTATTTGGAAGCCAGTCCACTGCCTCCTGCCATTATTGATTATCAAAGCTAAAGCAGAGCATGAAAGGCCAGAGCCCATGCATGTCAGAACCAGCAAAGGACTCGCCTAGGTCTCTGGCACATCAGTCATGTCACTCAGCAGTGCTTACCAATAGAAGCT